GATGGGGGCAGCCGCTCGCCGTCCTCAGAGAGCTCCCCGCAGCACCCCACGCCCCCCGCCCGGCCCCGCCACATGCTGGGGCTCCCGGCAACTCTGTTCACGCCCCGCAGCATGGAGAGGTGAGCCGCGGGCGGGTGGGGCTGGGCAAAGCTGTAGGGAGCCCCGTGGGGACTGCAGGGGGGTTGGTTGCTGAGGAGCTCCCTCCACCAGTGGCTGCTCCCTGTCCCCGCAGCATCGAGATTGACCAGAAGCTGCAGGAGATCATGAAGCAGACGGGCTACCTGACCATCGGGGGCCAGGTACCACCCTTTGCTCGGTGCCCCTGGGGTGGGGGGCGCGCAGGCAGGCCGGGCCCACCCCAGGGCACAGTCGAGGCCCCGGGGACCCTCCAGCCCCTGTTGTCCTCCTAGCGCTACCAGGCAGAAATCAATGACTTGGAGAACTTGGGTGAGATGGGGAGCGGCACTTGCGGCCAGGTGTGGAAGATGCGCTTCCGGAAGACAGGCCACGTCATCGCGGTCAAGGTGAGCCTCAGCCCTCACCCCGGGCCGGCCCACGCCTCGGTCCCGGCCTTCGCTGAGGTCCCTCCCCGCCTCGCATCCCTGTCCTGCAGCAAATGCGGCGCTCAGGGAACAAGGAGGAGAACAAGCGCATCCTCATGGACCTGGACGTGGTGCTCAAGAGCCACGACTGCCCCTACATCGTGCAGTGCTTCGGCACCTTCATCACCAACGTGAGCACCCCGCCCCGCCCGGTGCCCCCTCCCTGCCCCGGGCCAGAGCTGCTCTGGGTGGGCAGGAAGGTGCCGCCACCCCAAGCCCGCTGTGTCCCCCCCAGACCGACGTCTTCATCGCCATGGAGCTCATGGGCACGTGCGCTGAGAAGCTCAAGAAGCGGATGCAGGGCCCCATCCCCGAGCGCATCCTGGGCAAGATGACGGTGGCGGTGAGTGGCTGCGTGGCGGGCGGGCGGGCAGGTGGGCAGGCGGGCCGGCCCTGGGCCCATGGTCACGGGCGCCTGCCCCTGTGCACGCCGCAGATCGTGAAGGCGCTGTACTACCTGAAGGAGAAGCACGGCGTGATCCACCGCGACGTCAAGCCCTCCAACATCCTGCTGGACGAGCGGGGCCAGATCAAGCTCTGCGACTTCGGCATCAGCGGCCGCCTGGTCGACTCCAAGGCCAAGACGCGGAGCGCTGGCTGCGCCGCCTACATGGCGGTGAGTGGGGGCCCGGCACGTTGGGGGGCGGTGGGCTGGGCGGCCTCCAAGGTACAGCCTCCTGTTCTCTCCCGGCAGCCTGAGCGTATCGACCCCCCAGACCCCACCAAACCCGACTACGACATCCGGGCCGACGTGTGGAGCCTGGGCATCTCGCTGGTGAGTGGGGCCCCGCCCTGTCCTCGGGCTGGAGGTGAGGTCCTGGGGCTGTGGCCCCCGACCCGGTGCCCGCGAGGTCCAGCCCTGCCCGTGTCCCGCCCAGGTGGAGCTGGCGACAGGACAGTTTCCCTACAAGAACTGCAAGACGGACTTTGAGGTCCTCACCAAAGTCCTCCAGGAAGAGCCCCCGCTCCTGCCCGGCCACATGGGCTTCTCGGGGGACTTCCAGTCCTTCGTCAAAGACTGGTGAGAGCCCCCGCCCTGCCTGCCCCCTCTCAGGGGAGGCCCCTTGCTCAGGGCAGAATGGGCGGGGGTTGGGGGGCCGCCCTGGGTTGGGTGGGGGCACAGATGGGAGCTGGTGCCCTGGGAGCCTCGAGTTGGGTTTGGACCCAGCCTGAGGGGACAGCTGGCCCCGTGGGCGCTTGGCACAGTGGCCGTGGGAGGCTGAGAGCGCCCGCCCACAGCAAGCTGCACGTGGGTGCAGGAAGTCCACATCTGGCCTCCCAGGGCCAGAGACTGCAGGGCGGACACCCAGGCAGTCCCAGCTGTCACCAGGGCCCAGACCATCAGCAGATCCTTCCCCTGCGGACCTTAACAACCCCCAGCTCAGCTGGGGCCTGAACACTGGGGGGCAGCCGGGCTCCTCCTGCCGGCTCTCACCTCCCTCCCTCCCTCCTCCCTGCAGCCTTACTAAAGATCACAGGAAGAGACCAAAGTATAATAAGCTACTTGTGAGTACTTATTGTGAGCCCCTCCCCATGTCCCCGTCCCTGCGGAACACCCCCACAGGAGCCCCAGGCCCTGAGCGTGAGGCCGGAGGGACGCCCCTCCTCCTGAGCCCCTGCGTCGGTCCCTGCAGGAACACAGCTTCATCCGGCGCTACGAGACACTCGAGGTGGACGTGGCGTCCTGGTTCAAGGATGTCATGGCGAAGACCGAGTCGCCGCGGACTAGTGGGGTCCTGAGCCAACACCACCTGCCCTTCTTCAGGTAGCTGCATGGCGGCGGCCAGCCCCACAGGGGCCAGGGGCGTGGCCACAGGCCCCCGGTCCCCACCCAGCCACCTGCCAGGGGAGACCTGGGACCCTGACGGCTGCCAAGGGCTGAGGACAGAAAGTAGGGGCACCCACCCACCCCCAACTCCCTGCCCACCAGCCGTGGACAGACGGGCCTGCCAGGCCCCAGCCCTTCCCGCCCCGGGGTCAGCCGGCCGCGCGTCCCCCCGACAGACACTGTGAACGGACGACAGCAGGCCGGGAGCAGACTCGCTATTTATTCAGTCGTAACCTCTGGGCTGGGGTGGCCCCCAGGGGCCAAGAGAGACCCCTGAGTCCCCAGATCCGCTCCGAGCGTGCCGTCCTCGCCGCTCCCCATGCACCTGTTCCTTCTCCGTCACCCCCTCTACCTCTGTCCTTGTCACCCTCCCTGCCTCTGCCTCCCTCCTGGCCCAAGCCTGGTCTCAGCCACCCCTGGCGGGACCCCTGGGTCTGCTTAGGTCTCCGTGGGACGATGAGTCGGTGGCCCCCAGAAGGGGCTGCGGGCATTGTGACTGCAGCTGGCAGGGCCGGTCTCTCTCTCTGTCTCTTCCTCTCTCTCTCTCTTTGATCTCAGGGGGTCCTTTTTGGAGTTAATTGTATTTTATTGTACTTGGTGGGGGGTGGGGGGCGGAGGAGAGCTTGTTCTCACGGGGTTCCGTCGGTACCTTCAGAAACTTTTACCAAAGTCACGTTTAGCTGCTTTGTAGAGGGGCCCCGACCGCCCGCGGGCTCCGGGGACTGGGCCGGGGCCTTGGCTCCGGGTTCGGGGTCGGGCCTGGGCGGGGAGACTGGCCCCAGCTTGGGGGTGAGTTGAAGACCTCAGGGGGTGTGGAGGAGGCCCAAGGGGCTGTGGCCACACACAGGGTGGCCTTCAGGGAAGGTAGAAGTGGGGCGTGGCGGGAGCAGGTGGCCAGAGGGAATTGAAGACGAGAAGGAGTGTGGCAGGAGTTGGATTGAGGGGGAAGGGAGTGGATGTGGGGGTTCAGGGACATGTGACAGGCTCCAGCGGGGGGAAGGAGGGGCACCAGGCTGTGGGTGGGAGTTCAGGGTGGTCACCCCCGGGGTGCCACTGTGCCACACCACAGCTGGCCAGGTGTCCCCCAGCACCCGCTGCTGCTGCAGGCAGAGCAGGAGGGGGTGTGTTTCCTTTTTGTTGGTGATGCATGCGAATCACGTGGACTAGAAAAACAAAATAGCAAAACACAAAAAAGAAAAAAAAAAATCCCATAAAACCACAAACAAAAACCAACCAACACCAAAGGTGAGGAGCCTCGCTGGACGTAGCTGAAGCAGCGTAGACGTAGGGTCGCTGTGTCCTCTCATCTGTGGTCTGGACTCTCCTTATCATAGTCACAAAATGCCGCATGTTTAAAAGTAGTAGAAGTCACCTTCTGTCTGCCCCAGGGGCAAGGCCGCCTTCTCTTGCCTCTGGGCCCCTTTGTCAGGGGCCAGGGGCCAGGGGGCGGTGCCGGCAGGCCTGGCCCCTAGCCTCCCTCCCTGGGGCCAGCCGCAGGGGCCTCTGCGGGTAGCTGGAAGGTTGCTTGGCTGGCTCCGGGCGGCACAGGCCCGAGGCTGGGCTACCTGGTTTTATTTTTATTTAACTTTATTTTCCGTTTTTGTGCGTGTGTGTCTGCCCCCCCACCCCTTCAGTGTTACGGGGAGCCCTGGGGGAGCCTCTCCTACTCCCCGCCTCTCCCCAGACCTCCCCCTCGTCACCAGCCATCCCTCTGGACCAGGCAGAGGGCAGACCGGGTGGGCAGGAGCCTGGGGTGGCCCAGCCCGGCCCACCGCCCCCGACCCCTTCTCAGGCCGCCAGTATTGCCCTGTCCCTTTTTAAAACAAAATGCCCTCGTTTGTAAATCCTTAGAAGCTTGAGAATAAACCCCTCCCTTTTCTTCCACAAGTCTGTGCTGTGTCGGGAGCCTGGCAGGGAGGTGGGAAGGGGCTGGGGCTGGGGGTGCCGTGATGGTGGTTGAGGCATCGGCATCAAGGAGAAACTGAGGCAGAGTGGAGGGTGGTGCTGGGAGGGAGGTGTTTAGAGTGGCTTGCTCAGTATTTGGTGGCCAGTATGGGGGACTCCCTGCCCCCAGTAGTCACAGGTGGGGCAGGAGAGGAGTCCTTAATTCCTCTCAGGCCTTGGGCCCCGGCTCTGATGTCAGCCCCTGTTGGCCACCCCCGCTCCCTGCCTCCCAGGGTGGCCGCCCAGCCAAGGACAGGGCCACCTGCCCACCTGCCAGGCCTGAGTGCAGCCAGGCTGGTGCCTCTGCTCTGGCCCCCAGACACCCTGACCTCAGCCAGTGCAGTATGCTGGGCTCTGCGCTCTTGCTGCTGGCTTTGCTCTTGGGGACCACCGCGTCACCCACTGGGCCACCTGGTATGTACAGGCGGAGGGGGACACTGGGCCTGTCTCACTAGCATCCCTCCTTGTGTGATCCTTCCTCAACTTGACCTCTTGTCCACCCCACCTCGGGGAAAGGGGGTAGGGTGGGGTCTGCTTCTGTCCCCTGTCCTCAGGTTGGCCCCATCCCGGACTGCCTCAAAGCCCGGAGCAGCCGCAGAGACGGAGGACTGCGGGAGGGGTGGGCTATGCAGGTACCCCTCAGAGGGGTGTGTGGGTAGTCCCCAGCGTTTGACAAGGACCCTAGCTGAGCGCCTCGGGGAAGCAGACGGCTGTGTGTACACCCTGCCCACTGGTGCGCAGTCTGCCGCGGGAGACCCTCGCCTTTGCTGCCGCTGCCTTCAGTCTGGGAGTGTGAGCCCTGGACAGGCAGAAACGTCCCAGGTCCTGGCGGCCTGACTGGGCTTTGGCTGTACCCAGAAGAGCCTCCAGGAAGGACACCCTCACCCCCCAGCCCTCCCGTGATGACAGCACCTACCTGCCCTTAGAAATGGGAGCAGCGTGGGGGGAGGGGCAGAGCTCTGACTTCCAGCCTGACCCTCCACCCTCGTGCAGCCTCAGCCCTTTCTGCTCCGGGGTTTCCTCGCCTGCTTTGGAGGCTCGTCCCCAGGGGTGCCCAGCTTTGCACCGGCCTCAGCTGCTGGGCTGCAGTGGTCCCCGGAGTCACCAGGGGGCACAGCACGGTAACTGTCCCGCTTGGGCAGAACTGTGGCGCAGTGCCGAGCCTAGGTGAATCCGCCACCGCCACCGCATCCCTTCTCCAAAGGTTGCGGCGGGGGCGAAGTGGTCGGGTCACTTTCCCTGAGAGCCTAAGGGACAGCGTGGCCTCCCTTGTCAGTGTCCCCCTCCCCCGTCCCCCGCCCGCCAGCACCCCAGTTCCCGGCGGCGCCGGGGCCCTGGCTGCGCAGACCGCTCTTCAGTCTGGAGCTGTCAGACGTGGAGGACGTCTTCCCGCGCCGCGCGGGGCCGCTCGAGGTCCCAGCGGACAGCCGCGTGTTCGTGCAGGTGCGGACACCGGGAGCACCAAGGGCTGGTGGCGGCAGGTGGGAGCGGGTGATCCTGATGTCGTCTCTGTCCCCCAGGCAGCCCTGGCCCGACCCTCCCCGCGCTGGGGTCTGGCCCTTCACCGCTGCTCAGTGACGCCGTCCTCGCGCCCGGCCCTGGGGCCAGCCCTGGCGCTGCTGCGCGGGGGCTGCCCTGCCGACGCCTCGGTCACCTTCCCCCCACCGCCGCCGCGCCCGGGTGCCACCAGCCCAGCGCGCTTCAGCTTCCGCCTGCGCCCGGTGTTCAACGCCTCGGTGCAGTTCCTGCACTGCCAGCTGAGCCGCTGCCGCCGCCGGGGAGTCCGCCGGGCTGCGCCTCTGGCGCCGCCGTCGTCATCGCGGGTGCGCGAACCCAGAGCAAGGGATCCGGGCGCCGGACCTCTTCGGGGGCTAGGCACAGGCATCTCTGGAGGCTGCGAGAGGATACGCCGGAGTTTGGGGATCTGAGCATCTGGGCGCTTTGGGGTCTGAGGTCACTTGGGGCTGGGAGGTAGACACTGGGTCTCTCCCAGGCTGGAGGCTGGAGGCAAAGACCCCAGGGGCCCATGGGACTCTGCACAAGTTGGGGGGGGGGCAGAGAGCGGACGCTGGGTTCCCTCATGGACAGCTCCGGGACTCTGAGATCCACCAGGGCCGGGAAACTGGGTGCAGAAGGCCACTGAGGGTCGAATCTCTAGGCACCTGATTTTAGCTTCCCAGGTTAGGTGCCGAGAGAGCCGGATCGTGTGACCTTGAGGGGCTGGAATTTGGGGTCTCCAAGGGCTGGGCAGCTAGCTGCTTGTACACTTAGGGGCTGGGCTCATGGACCCTAGGGGGACGGATTTCCAGGGGGCCTTCTAGCTGTGGTAGAGAGCCGGACTCCGACGTCTGTCTTGGGAGTCCTGATGTCTCGGTCTCTTTCTCCCCCACCTGCCCCCAGTGCCTGCCTCAGGATGAGGCGTGCGCGGGCGCCATCAGTGGGAGCAGCGAGAGCCTGGGTGCTGACAGCCCCCACCTGCACACGCTGACACAGCCCATCGTGGTCACCGTGCCGCGGCCGCCCCCCAGTGAGCGCGCAGTCCTCCCTCCGCGAAGGGTCCGTGGGGCGGGGGCGGGGTGGGAAGGACTTCCGGGTCCTGGCCCCAGTCTCAGCCCTGCCGACTCCCCGCAGGGCCCCCCAAGGTCGTCCCGGGCCGCGCTGCCGTGCGCCCCGAGCCTCCCGCGCCGGCCCCCGCGGCCCTGGAGCCCGCGCCGGTGGTGGCGCTGGTGTTGGCAGCCTTCGTGCTGGGCGCTGCCCTGGCCGCCGGGCTGGGCCTCGTCTGCGCGCACTCAGGTACCGACCTCCGCCACGCCCAGACCTCTGCCCGGCCCCCCCAGTCTATTCCTGAGCGTTAGGACCGGGGTCGCGGCGATCCAGTGGCCCTGACTCCGCTACGCCCGCAGCAGCCCCCAGAGGGCGCCCTGACCCTGGCGCCGCGCGCCGCCACCCCGACCGCAGCCTGCCTGTCTTGCAGCGCCCCCGCCCCCCGGCCCGCTCCCGAGAGCCTCGCCCGGCGACACCCAGCCCAGGAGGCCCCAGTGAGGCAGGTAAATGCGGAGCGGGGCAGGAGGAAGGAGGGGCTAACAGTGACTTACTTCATAGCTCTTACTCTGTGCCAGGCACTGTTCTGTTTTACGCATATGAACTAATTTAATCCTCATAACCGACTGGGCCTGGTGGCTCACAGCTGTAATCCCAGCGCTCAGGGAGGCTGAGGTGGGAGGATCCCTTGAGGACAGGAGTTCAAGACCAGCTTGGGCAACATAGCAAGACCCCCGTCTCTACAAAAACTAGCTGGGCATGGTGGTGCGCACCTGTATAGTCCCAGCTACTCAGGAGGCTGAGGCAGAAGGATAGAACTCCTTCAGCACAGGAGTTCCAGGCTGCAGTGAACTATGATGATGCCACTGCAACCCAGCCTGGGCTACAGAGTGGAGAACCCACTTCTTAAAAATACATAAATAAATAATGCTCACAACAACCTTCAGGTAGATACTATTATAGTCCCCATTTTACAGAGGAGAAAAATGAGGCACTCTCTGAAGTTAAATAACGTGTCAAAGGTCACAGTACTTGGTGGAGGACGGATTCCAACTCAGGCAGTGGGTCACCAGCGGTGGGGTTCGGGCTCTGGGTCGAGCCAGGGGTCCTCAAATTTTGGACAGGCATTAGGCGAGGAGAATTTGGGATTCAGATGCAGTTCCCACTCTCACCCCAGCATATAGACTGATGGGAGAGGCCGCTGGTCTGCTGGGAAGGGGGTGGCCGACATAATGTCCCCGCCGTCCCTCCCACAGCATGAACCTGAGATGCACTCACCCGCGGCTTTAGCCTCTCCAGGACTGGACCCGCTGCCCTGGACTCCGACCCGATGGGACCGCTGCCCCTACGCTTCTCCCCTCCTCCACTTCCTCCTACCTGGGCTCAAAATAAACCTCTGGACTGACCCGCTGAGTTTTGGTGGAGTCAGTGTGCGCGCAAGGCGCGGGGTGGCAGACAGGAGGAGGGCGCTCCAGGAGCGGGTGGCGCTCCAGGAGGGGTCCAGGCCTTGGTCCAGGACTGGAGGGCTGGGGAGGGGTGGAAATCCTGGCTGGGCGAAGTCCTGACTTGGGGGCGGGGCCCACACGCCCATTTACACGTGTGCATACACCCGCCAGAGGAGGCTCAAGGGCGTTTCGTCCCAAACAGAAAGTAACTCCTAACCCCACCAGCTTAAATTTAAAATAAGCCCCGCCTCCTATCCCTGCAGTCCCCCAGTTGCCCCCGCGATCCTCCTCCAGCCAGGCCTTCCCAGCTTTCCACTCCCACCGCCGACCCTGCCCTCGCTCGGGTCTCCGCGCGGGTTTGGACTTCGCCCTCCTCTTCAGTTTGGACTCCTTAAATCCCTCCTGCCCGAGCTCCTCCCTGCGCTGCTCATAGACAGGGTAGTGTATGGGACTACTAGCTCAGTTTACAGATGGAGAAACTGAGACTCGACAAGGCTAAACCACCTGTCCAAGGTGCCCAGGGCTGTCCGGCCCCACAACCGGGCTCTGGACCCCAACTGGACAGCTGTCCTGTGGGCAGGAACCAGCCCTCTGCGAGAAGCAAAACACACCGTAGACTTTACGAGATCCAGGGTGTCGGTTCCGCTCCCCGAATGAGGTAAGATGCGGGCTGAGGTCTCGTTCGTCCATGACTCGGATCCGGTGCCAGTCTCCCCATCTTCTCCACAGAGGCGGTTCTGCTCCTCCTACGAACGAAGAGCCACGCCCCCACCCACTTCCGCCTCCGCGCGAGGCTTTATGGCCTCAGCGGCCTCCGTAGCTCCACCCACTAGGGGATCGGCCCTAGAGCACGGGCCTGCCTTCGACCGGCATGAAGCCGCCGCAGCGGCGGCGAACCGTCCCGGCGCGCTATCTGGGCGAAGTGACCGGCCCCGCGGCCTGGAGCGCCCGTGAGAAGCGACAGCTACTGCGACTGCTGCAGGCGCGGCGGGGCCAGCCGGAGCCGGATGCCGCTGAGCTGGCCAGGGAGCTGCCCGGCCGGAGCAAGGTTGAGGTGAGGTGCGCGTCCCCGGACGAGAACGAGGCTGGGGGCGGGGCTAGCGTGTGTCTGGGCGGGGTCGCGTAGCGGGCGGGGCTATGATGAAGCTTAGGGGCGGGGCTGCGGTAGTAAGGGGCGGTTAGTGGCCTGGGGGTGAGTCGGAGGGGGGGGCGGGCAGTACGTAAGGCTGAGGGCGTGAGTGGTTGCGCCCCAGGGGCGGGGCGTGAGTCTGGAGGCGGGGCGAGAACAACATTTAGGGGCCAGGCGAGCTTGGGAGTTAGGCGTGGGCGGGGCGTAAGGAAGGCTGAGGGGCGGGACGATGCTGGGGGCGGGCCGTGTGTGCCGCGGAGGGGTGGAGCGTGAGTGGGCGAGCCTGGGGGCGGGGCGAGCTTGGCGCGAGTCGTGGGCGGGGCTTAAGTGGGGCTGAGGGGCGGGCCGAGGGGGAAACTTAGGGGCGGGGCGAATTCGGAGGCGGAGGCCGCGGAGGCCGGGCGAATTGCGCGCAGTTGGACCAGGCGCAATGGGGTTGTTGTGAGAATCGAGAAATGGGCGGAGTGGACGAAAAGGGAGATGAATTGCGTATGAAGGAGCCAAAACAGACCTAGGACTTACATCTTCATTAGGTAGCTGGTCATACTCTGGGGCGTTGGCCCGACGCTCAGCAGAGTCGCTGGGACCCTTTGCACAAGGCTGGCGGGAGGCTAGGGCGCAGTGGCCCGCCCTGGAGCAGGCAAGCAAGGTGGCGGGCTTTGGCTTCTCTCCTGCAGCCCTGAGCTCAGCCACCTCCTCTCTCCTCCCCAGATCCGGGACTTCCTCCAGCAGCTCAAGGGCCGTGTGGCCCGGGAGGCCATTCGGAGGGTGCATCCAGGTGGTGGTCCAAGGCGCCGGGAGGCACAGACCCCTGCCCCCATAGAGGTGAGGCAGGAGAGCAGAGCGTGGCTTCCCAGGGCCAGCCTTGTGGGGGATCCCCAGGTGGGGCAGGGTTCGGAGGGGACCCCTCCAGGTTGATCCCAGGGCTGACCGTGTACCTTCTCACGTTACTCAGATATGGATGGATCTGGCTGAGAAGATAACAGGCCCGCTGGAGGAAGCCCTGACAGTGGCTTTCTCGCAGGTACAGCCATCTCTCAGGCAGGTGGCGGGGGGTGGGTCCCAGGGGACAGGGTCATACATATGAGTCCAAATAAGGCAGATGGCATCCTGGGCCCTGCCTCTGAGGCCATCTCCTGTCTGAGCTCAGGGTGGCAGGGAGGATTTGGTGACTGGGTGGAGATGGAGGGTTCAGCCTCTGCACAGCAGGAGCGAAAGATGAGACTTCCTCCATCACCTCCCTGATTGCTCTGCCCGCCAGGTGCTCACCATCGCGGCCACAGAACCGCTCAGCCTCCTGCACTCCAAGCCCCCCAAGCCCACGCGGGCCCGAGGAAAGCCACTACTATTGAGCGTCCAGGGAGTGCAGGAGGACCCCACCCCTGAGGCTCCTGGCCCCGCCCCTGAGGCTTCTGGCCCCACCCCTGAGACTCCTGGGCCCGCCCCTGAGGCTTCTGGCCCCACCCCTGAGGCTTCTGGGCCCGCCCCTGAGGCTTCTGGGCCCGCCCCCGAGTCATCTTCCGGGTCCCTGGCTGGCCGGTCCACCGAGGGAGACTTCACCGTGGACTTTGAGAAGATTTACAAGTACCTGTCCTCCTTCTCCCGCAGTGGCCATGGTCCTGAGCTCTCAGCAGCTGGTAAGAGGAGTGAGGGGGTGGGCACTGAGGGGTTGGGGGTGCCCTGGGCGGCAGGCCCGGTTCTCTCCTCATCCCTCCCTCTCTGTCCATCCCTAGAATCGGCTGTGGTTGTTGACCTGCTCATGTCGCTTCCAGAGGAGCTGCCCCACCTGCCCTGCACGGCCCTGGTGGAACATATGGCAGAAACATACCGACACCTGACTGCCCCTGAGCCCAGTCCTGCTGGAGGGAACCCGGGGCCTGGGGCTGAGGGTGATAGGACTGGTGCCAGGGGCCCAGAGGAGCCCGGCCAGGCCACCGCCCACTCCTCTGAGAAGGCAGGGCCCAGCAAACTGAGATCACCCTGGCAAGCAGCTGGGATCTGCCCCCTGAACCCGTTCCTGGTGCCCCTGGAGCTCCTGGGCAGGGCGGCCACCCCTGCTAGGTGAGGGGCAGTGGCCACACCAGGCATCCCCATCTGGCCCTCAGTTCTGCTCGGCTGGCACTAGGTTGTCCTGAAGATCCAGTCATGGTAGAAGGTCCCTGAGACAGTGCTCAGATGTGTGGGGTGACCCTCTAAGATGTTCCATATGTCGGGAGTCTCCGAAATGGAACCCCAGCTTTAAGGGGTTTGTTGGGGCAGCCAGGCGGCTGGGTTAACGGAGAATGGGGGACAAGGGGACTCCATGCACAAGCACTCTGACCTCCTGGACAGGTGGACAGGCAGGCAGATGGGTGGGGCTGGCCTCCTCATTTCCCCAAGCCCAGTTGTGCCTTGTTCTCTGCTGGGGGCAGTGGGGGACATGGCTGGCACCAAGCACCATAAACCCCCTTGCATGGGGCCCCTGTTGCCTAGGCTTCCATTTTTTCTGGTGCCCCCTTTCTTGCACCTCAGGGACCCGCATTGCCTGGCTCTCTGCAACGGACCTGTCCCCAGTCTCCCCACCCTGCCAGCTCCCTGCCCCTTCCCCGGGCTATCCCATGACTGTGAATAAAGGTCTCGCCAACCTGCCTTGCTCTCTTTTTCCTGTGACTTAAAGGTGGGAGTGGAGGCCCTGAAGTATCAGCGCTTGGGGTCATGGGGGAGGGGCTGCCAGGGAGGAAAGCTGCCTCCATGCCTGGGGCGAGGAGCCCCTTATTGACTGGACGTGATCAGCGTGGATGGCAGGATAGCCAGGCAGTTTTCATGGGGACAGGTGCCAGGCAGTTTTCATGGGAACAGGTGTCAGGACAGGCTTTCAGAGTGGGACAGAGTCACATCATAACAGATGAAGGGGAGAAGCCGGCAGAGAGAGATGGCCCACCCAGAGGAGTAAGGCTCTAGGCTGGGGGACCCCAGGCTAAGTTAGGGGTGCACTGTCCCAAGCAGGAGACTGGAGGGAAAGGAACATGTCCTCGAAGTGGCCTTGGGGCCTCAATGATCCCAAGGCCCAGCCCCGGGATCATTGAGCCTAGCCCCGGGGGCTCCCTGGCTGCGGTGGCCATGCTCAGAGGATCCCAAAGCCCAGCCCCGGGTCATTGCCCAGCCCGGGGGCTCCTGGCTGGGTGCCATGCTCAGAGGATCTGCTCTGTGCTGGAGGCGGAGATGTCCAGGAGCCGCCAAGAAGGGGAGGAGGGAGGGGCATTGATGTCCTGGCTGATCTCCAAGACCCCAAACCTCTCAGGGTGCTTCTGGGCCCTCAGTGGGGGTTCCCCCTCTCAGCGCCACCTGCCCTGTGTCCATGGATTCAGGGACAGGGCTGGGGGAACCAGGGCTCTTCCTGGGGAACGAGATGTCCTCCCACGGCACCTCCCCCCCACGCCTAGCTAGTCTGAGCTGGTAAATTCTCCGTGCACGGAGCCTGTGCCCTCACCCAGCTTGCCTTTTATAGAAACGCTCGTTTCTCCCCACACACGTTGCACACGGCTCCCCCGAGGCGCACAACACATCTCCCCGGGTGGGCCGTGGAGCGGAGCCAGCCCACTCTGTGTCACCGCCCCACAGCGCCAGACCTACGGCTTGGTTCCAAGGCTCGTGTTATGGTGGTGGGCAGGAGGGACCAGGCTCGGGAAGATCCGGCTGCAGGTGCTGTCCCTGGAGCCACCCTCCAGGGCCAGCCGAGCGCTCCCCTCCCAGCTCCTCACGGGGCTGAGTCCAGCCCAGGGACCCCGGTGCCTTCCAGGGTCAAGGGAAAGGAGTTTGTGTGAGGTCTTGGCTGTGGCTGGAGCTGGGGGGTTGAGTTGGTCACACATCACACTTCGCACCCCCCCAAGCTGATGAAAGGCGCCAGTGGCTCTTTGCAGGACTGGGCAGTCCTAGGAGCATGCAGGAGCCAGTCTCTCTAGCCACGTGGCCCTCAGTGGCCTGGCCTGGAGAATGGGGATGCTAAGGGAGCGTGTGGCTCATTCTCACCATCCCAAAGAAGAGGAACTAGGCTATGAACAGGAGGCGCCAACTCAGCACGCTGCTTGGCATGCAGTAAGCGCTCAATAACAGCTTTTATTATCATCGGCTCAGAGGCAGGGAAGCATGAAAAGGCATGGCAGGGGCTTGTGGGGGCATGGCGGGGGGGTCAGGGGGAGGGCACGCTGACCTGCGCTGGGGCCGGGCTGGGGGCGGGAAGGAGCCTGCCCGCGCTCCCCCCCACGGAAGGCGCCACGCATCCTGGACACCGCAGCCGTGGCAGGTCCTCGGGCTCCGTCTCCGGGCCGGCTGTGCAGCGCATATTGGTATGCTGCGTCTGCCCGTGGGGCGGGCTCAGCGCTCACCCAGTCACCGTGGGGATCACGATGGCCAGACGACAGGGGAGAGAATGGGGCCGAGGGAGTCCCCACTCCCAGGAACGGACAATAGCAGAGCCACTTACACGCTGGGGAGGGGGTGGCGCGGGGGTCCTCCTTCCACTCAGGATCCCGGGTGACTTGTGCAGAGAGGAAAGGGACAGGGCTGAGAAAGGCACGAGGTGGGGGTCGGGCCAGGCCAGGAGGGGGGATGGGAGGGGTCTAAAGAGGGAGGGGCCGAGCTTCTCCGAAAGCCCCCTCCCACCGGGCTGGGGGCTCTGGGGCGGGATCTCGAGCGCAGTCCGGGCCCAGCGGCGACCCCCGGCCGGGCCGGCCCTCGGGGACCCCCGCGGAGGGCCGGCCCGGGGCGCCGCGCCCCTCACACCAGCGCGTAGTCGAACTGCCCGCGCTCGAGCGCCTCCTTGTGGTCGGTCCAGGACGAGGCGGGCATGCGGCTGTAGGGGTCGAGCAGGATGCGCACGCAGCGCACCATCAGCAGCACAAGCACCACGAGCAGGCAGAGCACGAAGGCGAACACCGTGCGCTGCTCCGCGTCCAGGCCCGCGCCCACCGGGGGCCCCGTCGACGGCGGCAGCGGCTCCGGCGACAGCGTCCACGTCGCGCTCATGGCTCACATCGCCGCGCGCCCTGCGGAGGAGGGGACCCGCCCGGGGTGCGGGGATGAGGCTGCGCCCTCCCGCGCCTCCGCGTCGCCACCCCCCACCCACCGCGCCACCACCCCCTTACCGTGCCCGGCCCCATCCCCCGCCCGCGCCTCGGTCCCCGGGCTACGCCCATGCCTGGCTCACGGACTCCCAGCCACCGCCACGCGGGGACCCGCTGCGGCCGTGCCCGGGGAGAGGCAGCCCCGACCGGCCCGGGCCGTGCACAACAGGTGCGAACGCGCGGCCGCAACCCGGGCGGCGCGGCGGGGGACGGTCCTAGCTGCCACCGCCCTGCTCCCTTTGTTCCTGGCGGCCCGCGGACCCCCTCCCCCACCGCCGCCGCCCCCGCCCCAGCGCGCCCCTCACCCTAGCCTGGACCCGGACGGGGACGGACCGGCCGGCGGCCGCGCTCTCTCCGGGACCCGCGCTGGCTCCGCGTTCGGCCTCTCCCCGGCGGCGGCGGAGGTGGCGGCCCCAGCTCCGGCGCCGGCTCAGCCCACCCCACCCGCCCCTGGAGCGGCAGAGACCGAGGCAGCCGAGCCGCGCGCGAGCCGGGCCGCCGCGGCTGTTCCCATGGCGACGGGGGCGGGGCCGCCGCGGGGGGCGGGGCCTCGGGGGGCGGAGGCTGCGCGGGGAGCGGCGCGCGGGCCCGCGACCCCGCCCCGGTCTGCGGGGTACCCAGACCCCAGCCCGGGGCCCTGCGCGCACCCGCGAGCTGCCACGCCCAACCGCCAGGACCTCGGACCCCTGGCCTGACCCCAGCGCCCGCCCCCCACTCTCCTCTGCCATAGACCGACACCCACGGGTCCGTTTGAGGGTTCTCATCGTCCCCAAACATCACTCCTGTGGGCACGCAACCTCTGCCAGCCCTGGGGACGCCAGCCCTCCGAGAGCCCAGGCAGGTCACTGGGATTTTTCTTGTCACTGCCGCCCACATTCCCTGCCCCAGGGGTAATGTCCTGACCAGGGCAGGCCACCCCTTTGGTGCCGCAGTCATTGACCTTGACCACCTCTCTGTGAGCCACCCAGTCCCAGTCACTGTCTCACACACACACAGACGACACCTCAGGCCACTCAAGTTGCTCTTCTGCACTTTGGTGTTTTATTATTTCCAAATCTCAGGCTATGTACAGGAAATGAGAGCATTGTTAAAATAAAAAAAAGACCTAAAATGGCCTGGCTGGCATGGCCAGCCGTGCGGAGCAGGGCTGGGCCCAGCACCCTGCCCCCTGGGTCCCAGAGCCTCTTGGCACTGTGTGGCCTGTGCACCCCGAGGTGGCAGAGGGACAGTGCAGGAGCTGGCACTGTGCAGTGTGTCCAGCCGCTGGGCACCCTCGGTAGCCCTCCGCCCCTTTCCTGGCCAGCTGGTTTTGTAGTTGTCCTGGCAGAGCTGGGGGACAGGGCCTGCAGTCTTGTCTCCAGAGGTCTGGAGTTGCTGCAGGTGTCCCTGGGCATCCAGGCCTGGTGGCCCAGCCCCGGGGGCTCCCTGGCTGCGGTGGCCATGCTCAGAGGATCCCAAAGCCCAGCCCCGGGATCATTGGCCCAGCCCCGGGGGCTCCCTGGCTGCGGTGGCCATGCTCAGAGGATCTGCTCTGTGCTGGAGGCGGAGATGTCCAGGAGCCGCCAGGCCGCGTAGGGGTTGAGCTCGTCTTGGTCACGGCAGAGTGCCCACACGTACAGCATGCGCAGCACCTTGTCCTGCGGGGAGGGCAGAGGGGCTGCTGGGAGAGGTGGTTCTGGGGGGTCGGGGGGAAGGGCATGGGGTCCTGGTGCCAACCCAGGTCTGGCCTGTATGGGGTGGGTGCCACCCGGAACACCCCCAGGAGCTGGGAGCAGAGGCTGGGACAGGGCCTATGACTCAGAAGCCACCCAGCACTTGGGAAAATCGGACAGGCCAGTCCATCCTCTGACCTCCCCCAGCCCCAAACTCCAGGCCTGGGGTTTCTCCCTGTCCCCACCCGGTCCCAGAAGCTCTGGGCTCTGAGCTGGCATCCGTGCCGTGTGGCCTCAGGCAGAGTCCTGGGGGTGGGAGGCGCCTGCTGCGTCCCCTGGGGGTGGGAGGCGCCTGCTGTGTCCTCGCCTGTGTGCCCCCACTCACCGGGTCGCCCTCGACCACCTGGCCTTTGGAGTCCTTGATCACCATGACCAGCTGGGCCTGGAAGGTGATGATTAGCACGGGCCCCTGCTCCATCATCTTGCCCATGGCCAGCTGTGGGGAGCACAGAGGGGGGCCTCAGAGAGCAGCCCGGGCACCTCGTCCCACTGAGGGCACCGTGCCCAGCGCCGCCCCCGCCCTGGCGGAGCAGGCCTCCCGCCGGCCCACCGCCAGCAGCCATTTCCCATGACACCTTTCCCAAGGACAAGTTCAAGGCCTCCGATCAGCACAGCCCCGGGCGAGGCCGTCTCCTGGGCCCTGTCTGGGCCACAGCTCCCACCCCCGGGGTGGGCCGGGCCCCCAGCGAGCGGCACTCACGTCCACGTTGTTGATGTCCAGGATGTGGGAGTGGAACTGCAGGCCCAGGGCCTTGGCCTGCTGGATTGGGTGGGCCAGCTGGCTGTACGTCTGCAACGAGAGGCCCACACGCTCGTGTGACGGCCACCGAGGGCGGTCTCGCCAAGGCGCCACGCCGCACGGAGCCAATGCCCGCACACCCTGGCGCTGGGGCGCCCTGCGTCCAGGAACAGTAGAGGCCAAGAGCATGTGTCCAGGCAGCTGCCACCCACTTGCTGGCCCGGATCACACGCCTCCCTCTCCTGAGAACAGGGTCAGACCAAGGCTGCCCAGTGAAAACGGTATTAATCAGCAAAGTGGGTGATTCTCCTGGGACACAACCCAAAACACACTCCCCAGGGATATGCTGGCACCTCCCTGGCCGAGTTCACCTCACCCTGAGTCTTGGCCTAGAATCAAACACCTTTTCTAGGATTTGTCCCTAACCCATGGGCCGTCCAGCCCTTGGACCAGCCCCCAACAGCACCTGCCAGCACCCCCACCCCACCCCACCCCCGCGCCCTAGGCACAGGAGACAGCCCCCAAGACACATTTGCACCGCAGGCTTCTCCGGGCTTGGCAGGCGACCACGACGGAAGATGCTCCAATACCGTCTCCTTTTTATGGAAACGGCTGATCCTCGGGGTGCAGGGCAGGGGGGAGGGGGAATTGGAGCCAATCCTACTTGTTTGGTTTCTTAAAGATGACATTTTAAAAGCACCTCTGTGGAAGTGGCTGGGACTTCAGCTGTGTTTCCAGGGCCACCAGCAGCTCTCTGGCAAAAGTAATCAGCCGCTGCTTCATGGTCCCAAGGTTAAAAAAAAAAAAAATCAAAACCAAAAATCCTCCCAAAAAAACCACCACACCAAAACTCATAAATGCCTGTTGGATTAGTCACCGTGCAGGGGAGTATTTAAAAAGAAGATCTGACATCTTCTCTTCTGCTTTTTCCAAGTTGTTTGTGAGCTGGGTGCAGAACAGAATTAGCCAAAGAAGATTCTGGATGGCTTGAGATGAAGTGGCAGGAAAAAAACCAAAACAAAACACACAGCTCATGACGGCTCGGGTCAGGGAGCGCACAGGGTGAGGTGAGGTGGCCTGGCAAGATGGGGGCCGGGAGCCCCAGGGGACAGGGACGGGCAGACAGCCTGTGCTCCCGGGGAAGCCACGCTGGCCTCCGTGCACCCAGCGCAGAGCCTCAACTCCGGGAAGCAGCTGTCAGGACGCGCTGTTCCTCCGGCGTTTGTTTTGGTCTGTGTTTCGGACGGTGTCTTGAGGACAGCTAATGCATCTGTCCTGGAGGCCCCTCTGTGCTCGGGTTTCCGTCTCCTGGGAAGTGGGCACAGGGGACAGGGGTGCCCACGAGGCCCCTATGATCCCATACAGGACCTGCACCATCCCCGGCCCCAGCCCGTACCCCAGGCCACCTCAGCCACCTGGAGTGGGGCAGTCAGACCCGAGCCACAGCCCACACTGGAGACCTCATCTGACTCCAATCACCTTTCCTGGGACTTGTCCCTAGACAAAATTATTTTAAGATGGCAGCTTCGTGACATCCCATGGGGGAAGAATGCCACAGGCCTTCTCCCAGGCACGGAGGGGAGAGGTGATCCCTGACCAGGAGTTTACAGTCTGGAAGCAGGGAACCAGCAGGTGACAAGGTGCCCAGCCCGTGGGCCCAGACGTGCCACCTGCAGAAGCTCAGAAGGTGGTAGGGGACTGTCGGGCTCTGTGGCGGCCAGGGGACACGAGGACCCGCCATGGGGTCCTGTCGTGCGCTTCCCCAATGGAGCCGTCCGAGCAGACATCCTTTTCCACATTGATTTTTTTTTTTAGGCTTTAAAAAACAAAGTACTCACAGCTTCATAGCACCAGTCTTTGAGAATGTCAAGTTCTCCTGAAATCATGGCCTAAAAAGGGAAAGGAAAACGTAAGCGAGAGAGCAAGGGAGGCTTTGCGGCAGGAGAACTCCCAAGTCTCCAGTGAGGGGCCCCGCCTCGGAGCCCCCGCCCCAGCCTGTGGGGCCCTGGGGAGGAGGCCTTGGACACCAGCGGCCCAGGCCACCTCCTAACCTCTGGGGGCGGCTGGAGGAGGGGCGGCCGCAGGAACCTGGGATGGGGCCAGATCTGGCGTGGAGGAGGGGGGAGGCACCAGAGCAGGGAGAGGATGGGGAAGGAGCCAGGTGCCTTTGGGGACAGCCGCGGGCAAAGCCAGGGGCCCAGAACGTCCCGCGCTCGCCACGGAAGGAGCTGCCTGGGCTCCGGCTGCTGCTTTAGGGAATGGCTGCCATTGCCAGCCCCGCCCAGCCCAGCCCAAAGTGGCTCGAAGGACCTGGGCACTGGGGAGGAAGAGGAGGCCTAGAGGAGGCTGGCGGAGCAGAGGGGACAAGGATGGAGGGGCTTCCCGTGGTCCTGCGAAGGGCCTGGCCCTGTGTCCTGGGGCCTGGAAGAGGCAGAGGCGCGGCAGGCAGAGGCAAGCGACCTCGTGGGAGGGGCTGCAGCATGACCTTGAGGATGAGCCCCTCCTCCACAAACCGAAGGGCGGGTTGGGGAGGAAGACGCCCTGGGCTGTGGGTCTTGCCCTGGGCTGTGGGTCTCGGTGGGACCCTGAGCTGAGACGCAGCCCCAGGTTGGCCTGGGCTGCTCTACCTGAGGGTGGCTGCCCACTTCTCCCCAGTGCCGAGCCCCCCCCCAGCAGCTGCTCCTGGGGCAATCTCGAGGGAACAGCTTCAGGTGGGAAGTGTGAGGGAAGTGACACCCAGAGGCGCTGGGCTGAGTTTCAGGCAGTGACAGGGAGAGAAACTCATTTCCCGGAGCAGTCATATCCAGTGGGCGAGGCATGAAATGACAACAGAGCCAGGAACACATGGGACTGCCAACCCCTGCTCAGAGACACGGGCCTAGGGGGCCTGGGTGTGGGGTGTGATAGGGCCTCAGAAACCTAGGAAGGGCACTGGGCACAGCCCGTGGGGCGGCTGCAGCCCGGCAGGAGCCCGAGTGCAAGGTGTCTGCTCAGAAAACAGCCTCAGCAGCAGAACTCTGGGCTCAGACCCAGGGTGCCAGCTGGGGACGGGGCGGTGCAGCTGGGAGGGCTCCCGCACCCACCTCCAGGATGTTGGGGATGATGTCATTCTCGCACTGCTGCAGAAACTGGTCCTTGTCGAAGGCCGGGTCCACCCGGAGGATCTCCGTGAGCACCTCCGACATCTCCGTCTTGGAGAACAGGCCCCCTGCGGGGAGCGCAGCCCAGTGGGTTGGAGGCCTGGGACGCTCCCTGTGGCCGGCATGGGAAGTCCTGGGGCGGTTCACTCACCCAGCAAGTCGGTGACCTTCTCTGTCAGGGCCCGGGATGCCCGGATGAGCACGTTGTCGCTCTCGTCATACTTCATCTTCATCTCGAAGAACCCTGCAGGGGAGAGGCAGGGGCTGGAGGAGGGGCCCCTTCCGGAAAGTCACCCCTCTGCCGCAGCTCTCGGGGGGCTCCCTGAGGGTCCCGCCCTTGTCGTGGGTCGGGGCAGGGAGGGGAATCTCTGTGAGCCTGCGTCCACCGCCGCCTGCCCACCTACCTGGCGAGGCTGTGGAGACCCCTCAGCCGCGGCCCTAGCGGGGCTGTGTAAATTACGGGGCGCCACCCCCGCTGGCTGTTGCTTCCACTACAAAGGAAACACAGGCCTCTAGCGGTCCTCACGGGACAAGGGACAGGGGCATGCGGCACGATGGCTCTCCTTGCTAGCACCTGGGAAACCCACGCCCAGCCCCAACGCCTGCCATGGGACTTGGGGCTGGCCGTGGCGCCTGTCAGCACCAGGGTTCCGGGGTCCTGACTGTCTTATGAGGGAACCGTCGTCTGGGGTCTCGTGGCAAAATGTACCACTTCGTGATTAGGGAACCACTCTGACCCCCGTCTCCTCTTCCGCAAAATGGGGATCTGACTTGTGCCCAGTGTGGGGAGAATGCTGTACAGTCAGCTGACCCCCTGGGACCCAGGCGGAGGTTGTGGGCGCTGGAGACATCCCCACTCACGATTGAACACCACGTTGTTTTCCTTGAAGTCCTTCCACTGCTGGTACCACTTGGAGTCCTTGTGTAGCACGACCCCCAGGGCCTCCCTGGGGAAGAGGGTGGGCGGCTGGCATAAGCGGCAGCTCCAGAGCCCCCTGGCCGAGGGCCCCTCACCCTCCCATCGCTGTGGGGAGGGGTGTGGAGAGTGGACAGGGAGGCGACCCCAAGCTTGGGGCCATGATGACTCCACCCCCGTCTCGGCCTCCTGCCTTCCCTCCCCTCCCCTTTCCCTCAAATGCTCTGGAGCGAGCCAGGAACGTCAAGCAGAAAGCAGACTCGAGAAGCAGCTGGGGTGGGGCCTGCAGACGGACAGCAGTGCCGGGCGCCGGAGGGGGAGGGAGGCCGGGACCTACTCATTGGGCTCAAACACTTTCTCTTCCTTCAATTTCTCCCCTGCAAACTCCGTCCTCTTCCGGAGCCGCTCGGGCCTGCGGTAGGGCCCGATCTGCCCCAGGACGCTGTGGTCTATCTCCTTCTTCACGGACTCCACGCCCTGCCGGGGAAGCACAGCGGCCTCAGTGGGTGCCGGGTCTGCATGGCTGGGGGGAGGGCAGCACACACCCCGGGCCAGACCTGGGCTCACCTGGGAAAGGGCTCTGAAGGCCGCAGTTTTGCCCAGCTTCTCTCCGCCCTTGGACACCGACTCGGCCGACTGCTTGGCCGTCTTGGCCGCCTCCTCCACGCCCTCCTTGATTTTCTGGGCAAGCTCGCTTTTACTGACTTCATCAAGGCTCTGGGACAGAGAGACACAGAGAGAGGGGGTGACGGCATAGCAACCCTGGGCGGTGGTCTGGAGTCCTCTGGGGACAGGCAAGGAGTCAGTTGCAGGGAGGGCAGCCCAGGGTGGCAAGGGGCTGCCCAACACCCCGCAAAGCCAGACAAAAACAGAGGCAACGAGAAGGTGCACTCGGGAGGTCTAGCTCGCACGTCACCCTTGCTGTGGGTGACAGTGACCCCCCCTTCTGTTTTTAGGCTGAGAGGAAAACATTCTCCTCTTGTCCGCTAGGCCATGCTAGCATCACATGCTTCCGCCAACTGAAGGGGCCACCTGTCATGCAGGCGGGTGGCGGTCTGACTTCACCCTCCTTCCTGCTGCCTTAGAACTCCGAACCCTCTGGAGGGCGTCCTCAGGGTGGGCCTCCCCCGATGCCCACCCCACCGGCTGTGGCCAAGTCAACCCCTGGCAGGAGTCACCTGTCCCTACGGCCTCCCACCTGCTGGTCACAGGCAGCAGTGGCCCCAAAGGCCCCCGCGTGTGACCGTTACCTCTTTCATCGTGCCCGTGAACTCCCCCAGCTTCTTCCGTATCACTTCGCTGGTCCGCACGGTTTCCGACTCAATGCTTTTCTAAAGCAGAGAATGTTATTATTATTTTTTGAGATTTCTCTTACAACCAAAGGGTTCCAAGGAGCATTTTCTCAGCAGTTCCCTTCTCCCCCTGCCTGCCACCGAATCCCCCACGGGCAGAACTCACGCACTACTTGAAGGCAAGGGAGTACTCTGGGGACACTCAAGAGGGACAAGGACTGGCCCATGGCTGGGTAGGGACCAACAGAACAAAATCCGCAAGGACCTGGGGCAGGTGCCTGCATCGCTGAGCCTCAGCCACTCGTCACCAAGACGTGGACTTGGTACCTGCCTGGCAGGCCCATTACAAATACAGTGTGCTCGCCCACTGCCACCACCTGGCGCCAGACAGCTGCGCGAGACACAGCAGTGGCAAATTCATGACACTGCACAGGCACCCGGTTTCCACGCCTCTTCATTCAGAGGGCCATGACCAGGGGCTCTCGGGAGCAGCGCCCCTCAAAGCTGGTGTGCATGGGTGACCCGGGGACCCGTGACAATGCAGGTCTGGAGGACGTGAGACCCTGTGTTTCCCACGAGCTCCAGGGAGAAGCCAGGGTGCTGGCCAGAGCACCATACTTTGAGCCGCAGAGAACGCTGGTCTCACGGCAGAACTGAGGGGCCTGGTGACATTATCCTGTCCCCAAGTTCCCGCTCGTCAGTGCAGTGACCTCACCTCCTCCAAGCCACCCCCGTCCCCTAAGTCCCCTGGCACCGAGCACCCCTGCCTGACTCTGGAAATGAGCGAGATCCGAGGCAAAGGGACAGAGGGACTTACGTATTTCCTTCTGGCTTCCTGGAGTGCATCTGACTCTTCCAGCTTCCTGGCCTCGTCTCGGAATTTTTTTATACTTTCTTTCATTTCTTTGTTTTTGGCTAATTCTTGTTTGATATTATCTAGCAAGCCAGACAGAAAGCCTTTTCTGTTTCCGGAAGAATATGATTTGGACTAGAAAGAACATAAAAGAAAAATTAGAGAACAGACCGGAAGGACATACGCCTAAATGTCCCACAGACAGATGTGGCGTTTTAAAAAATTTTCTCCCTTCTGTTGATATAGGTGTAACCAAATTATTTGTTAAAAGCTATCTCTTGGCCGGGCGAGGTGGCTCACGCCTGAAATCCTAGCACTCTGGGAGGCTGAGGCGGGCAGATTGCTTGAGGTCAGGAGTCTCAGAAACCAGCCTGAGCAAGAGCAAGGGAACCCGGTCTTCTACTATAAATAGAGAGAAATTAATTGGCCAACTAATATACAGAGAAAAAATTAGCGCGGCATAGTGGCACAGCCGTAGTCCCAGCTACCTCGGGGCTGAGCACAGATTGCTTGACCCATAGTTTGAGGTTGCTATGAGCTAGCTGATGCACCGGCACTCACTCATAGTCTGGCAACAAAGCGAGACGTCACACAAATAAATAAATAAAATAAAATAAAAGCTATCTCTTTTATAATAGGGCCGGCATGTGGCTCATGCCCTGAATCCTAGCACTTTGGGAGGCCGGGGCAGGAGGATTGCTTGAGCCCAGGAGATTTGTGACCAGCCTCAGCAACACAGTGAGACCCTGTCTCTACAAAAAATTTAAAAACTAGCTAGGTATGGTGGTTCATGCCCATAGTCCCAGCTACTAGGAGACTGAGGGAGGAGTTTGAGGCTGCAGTGACCTATGATGACGCCACTACACTCTAGCCCAGGCAACTGAGCAAGATCCTGTCTCTAAAAAAAACAAACAAAAAAATTTGAACCCTTGGGAAAACCCAATACACCCAGAGGCAAACCCTGGGTAGGCCGGGGAAAAACTCTCAGCTCCAGATACAAGAGCCACTGTTGTGCGTGGCTCCGAGACAGGTTCCAGGTCAAGCAGAGGTAGATTTTTTTTTTTGAGACAGAGTCTCACTTTCTTGCCCAGGCTAGAGTGAGTGCCATGGCGTCAGCCTGGCTCACAGCAACCTCCATCTCCTGGGCTCAGCGATCCTACTGCCTCAGCCTCCCAAGTAGCTGGGACTACAGATGCGCCACCATGCCCGGCTAATTTTTTTTGCATATATATTTTTAGTTGGTCAATTAATTTCTTTCTATTTTTGGTAGACACAGGGTCTTGCTCAGGCTGCTTTCGAACTCCTGACCTTGAGCAATCCGCCCGCCTCGGCCTCCAGAGTGCTAGGATTACAGGCGTGAGCCACCGCGCCCGGCCAAGCAGAGGTAGATTTAAACCACTACTTTGCCACGTGCATAGCTAAGAGTGGGCTCAAAGAAAGAGAAACAGCTTAAGGGGCCATTGTAAGAGAGTAGAGTTAGGGAAAAGTGGCAACCTATGGTCAACTTGCCCACAGGTGTGCTTGGAATACCAGATTGGGGACAACTGTCTCCCTGGCCCCCAGCGAGCCACAAGGGAAAGCCATGCCACACCCAGAGGGGTGGCTAGGCCTCCTGCTGGCAGGCTGCGGTCCCACTCGGATGCCATCCTTTCTCTGGGGGAATTCCAGGTTCTACGACCATCTGGGATCACGCCACCTTACAGCAGCCCGGCCACACCCCCCAGGGCTGCACATCATGGGCGCAGGGGACCTGACAACTAAGGGAAAGAGTCACAGAGCCCACGATGGCCCCAGGACATGATCAGGGAGGTAACTGGCCCTCCTCACGGTGGTGAGGCACAAACAGAAGCATGGTTGAAGGGCAGTGACCAGGAGAAACTGAGGCAAGGGCACAACCAGGTGACTCTGTTGCAATGCCTACAGGGCTATCTCCTGGAAAAAGAGAACAGCCATGCTCGGGGAGGGATCCACGGGCAGAAGCCACAGGGAGGCCCATTCAACGGTCACAGCCCTATCCCTCCCTCCTGCCAATAAAGTCTGACTTTTCTGACCGCATGTACATTTCTAAGTGTCCTCTGTCACTTACCAGTGGCAGCTCTCCGCCTGGCCGGCATACCTGATAGGTCGAACCATGGGGTAGGTGGTGGCTGGAAAGAAACTGGATTCTGCTGCCCAGGCATCTCTAATTAGAGCAAAAAAAGAGGAAAATCCATTCAAACAAGAGGTTGACTGAGAAGAAAGCAGATCACACACAAAAAAGCAGGGATTGGCTGGGCACGGTGGCTCACACCTATAATCCCATCACTTTGGGAGGCCGAGGCATGAGGATCACTTGAGGCCAGAAGTTTGAGATCAGCCTGGGCAACACAGTATGACCCCATCTCTATAAAAATTAGCCAGGCATGGTGGTGAATATCTGTATCCAGCTATTCAAGAGACTGAGGGGGGAGGATCACTTGAGCCCAAGAGTTTGAGGCTGCAGGAAGCTATGATCATGCCACTGCACTGTAGCATGGGTGACAGAATGAGACCGTCTCTAAAAGAAAAAAAAAAAAAGTAAGGATCACCTGCAACTTATTCATTAATTTTTATCCCATGCCTACTGCATGCTGTGCACTCTGCAATCTTTCTAAAGTCTGAGAAGCCAGTAGAATCTGGCAGAAAAGAGAAAATGCAAAAAAAAAAAAAAAAAAAAAAAAAAAAAAAACCAAGAAAGAAAAGAGAAAATGCTATGTCTGTACCTCCAGAACCTATATCTACCCTCCTGCCTCTGAAACTAGGGGAAAACCAACGGGTCCTAGGAAATGCCACCATATAAGGGAAGAAGACTAAATGTACCAGTACAATTTAATCCCTGAGTCTGAAAGCCTCCCAAGACTAGAGACCTGGACTTTCAGAGGCAAACACTGATAACTTATTGCTCTAGCAACACTCTTGAAGTAAATGTACAATGTCCTGTTAAAGGGTTGGGCTGCAAACAGAGCAATTTAGGAGGGTCGCTCTGAACAAACACACAGCTAACCTCATGGGAACGGCACTTTTTTCTCCCACCAAATGATGAACTTTAAGCTCCACGTAGGTCCTGTTCAACTCTGTATCCTAGCATTCAGCACAGAGCCTGCCACTTTGATGTCAAATGACCCAGTAGAACCATTCTTCCATTTCCACATTTCCTGGGCCTTTCCTCTGTTCCTTGCGTCCTAGGCTCTGGGACCCCCCTACACAACATTCCTAACTCATACAGGTGCCACTATCTTTTACAGTTACTCAAGGATAACTCTGGGGAGTGTAAATAACTTGTTTTATTTCTCTATATGCCTATACCCATGGATTCCAGAAGCACTGACTTCTGAAATAGAAATGGATGGCTGCCTAACCTGGGAGAGAAGTCTCAACCTGTGGTTGGTTCCATCTCAGTCTTGTGCCCAAATCTAAACATGTGTAAACTCAGCCTCTAAACTCTGACTCAAAAGACAAGCAGCTGAGAAAAAACAAAAAAAGCCAGTCCTAAGTCACAGACATCTTTGTCCTGACAGTCTGCTTCCTGAGATATTTTCCTTCCTCTTAACAATTTGGCTCTGGAGTCAGACTGAACTACACCTTGGGCAGGCTCTGGGACCGCGTGCAGGCTACTTAACCTTTCTGAGTTTCCGATTTCCTAATCTAATGAAATAGGGACAAGCGGCAGCGGCATGAAGTACTGAATTCTGGGTAGGCGTTAAACGTCCTGACTCCTACAGCCCTATAAACCCCACGAGCCCCTAGCTCTTAGCCAGGGCGAGAACCAACTCTCGCACACTGAACATTGTAAGGAGCGATACGGGAAAAGCTCTCCATAGAGGACCTGGTATTTAAACGCGAGCTGTGAATGTCACACATTTTTGCCTTCCCCTCGCACTTTCTTTCCACAGGGTACCGCCGCCCCGGCCACCATGCACTCCCCAGTGCACGTGGGGCCTGATCAAGAGGCGAGGGATGATCAGCTCCCCGCCAGGCTCCGCGCCTCGCCGCCCACTGCCCGGTGCGCTAGGTCCCCGCCCTCAGGCCTCGCTCCGTGGCCCCTGTTCCGGCCTCGGCTGACCCAACAACCCAACCCCACGCCTCCCGAGAAGCCCAGGGGAAGGGCCGCGGGCGCCAAAGGCCTGAGGACAAGGAAACCCTGGAGGCTGCAGGCTCCGATCCCCCTAAACCGGCCCTGCTAGGTCGCCACGTCCGCTCACCCGCGGACAGCGGCACCAGCCACCTCGCAGCGCCGCCGCCGCCGCCATGTTGGAGGATCCCGTGTGACCTTCTCGCGGCGCGGCCCAATTGCATCATCCGCCGCGTCTGCCCGGCGCAGCTCGGGCCTGGGAAAAGCCGGCCCAGAGGGGCGGAGTTCCGGGGAGGGAGAGGCCTCTGATTGGGTCCGTCATGGGGGCGGGACTTTAGGGGGCGTGGAATTCCTAGACAGCGTGGCCTCTGATGGGCCTGGGTTTTGGAAGAGCGTGTTACTGGATGTGGCCGGCGGGGGTGGGCACTCCTGTGACGCTCAGATCTGTGATTGGGCGAGACCACGAAGAGGCGGAGCCTGAGGGCGTGAACTCACCCGGCAGCAATAATTCTCTCTGCAGATTCCGCAGGTGACAGGAGGGGCCGGCACGTGGATTGAGCGACCGCAGGACAGATTCACTCGGATTCTGATTGACTCGGGGAGCAGCCCGAGACTGGCTGGCTGTGGCTCTCCCTGACAGTGACTGACTGACTGACTGAGAGACCAGCAAGGGAGCCGCTCCAAGAGCAAGGGCGCAGGAGCCCACGCTGGGAAGACGCCTGTTGGTTTTGGTCCAGAACAGGAAGGGGGAAGCCGAGACCAGGCTGGTTTGGGTCCAATTTCCCATCGATTTAGTGTGAATTAACACCCCTTGACCTGAAGAAGCCCAGATGTTTTGTCTTTTCAGCACCCCAGATGCTATTTTCTATTTGGAGAATGCCGCCACCAAGTGGCGGTACTTTATATGACCGTGCAATCTGAGACGGGGGAGTGGAGGAGGGCTGGTCCCATGGAGGAGTTAAAGTGTGTTGCTGTTGGTCCTGTTGAACCCTTTTGCATTATTGACCTGTAATATGGGTTTGCGGGACTTCAATCCTTCAAAGGGAGGCAGCTTGGCACTGGGGAACCTGCATTCACTGGCTTCAGGGCTAGGTAGACCTGTGTTCTCCATCCCTGAGGGGCTCCACCTCAAGGTGGGAGTAAGGGATGAGTGCTTCCACTCCAGCTTCGGTTGAGATGTCTTTATTGCAAGAGGAGCAAACTAGGTAAGCAGCTGAGGTACACAGGTTTATTGCTGAGAAGAAGACCTGGGCTAGAAATCTGGATTCTTAACTGTAGTTGAAACCACAGGGTTGGACAAGGGCACCCTGGATCGTTGTGTCATATGGGCATATCAAAGGCCCAAAGAAAAAGTGGGGCATCATTTCGGCACCGGGCGCGGTTTGGCTCAGCCCTGTAACTCCTAGCTCTCTGGGAGGCCCCGAGGCGGGCGGGATTGCTCAAGCGTCAGGGAGTTCCAAAACCATGCCTGACAAGAGCGAGACTCGCCGTCTCTACTAGTAAAATATGAAAGAATGTAATTGGCCAACTGATATGTATATAAACTTAGCCGGGCATCCGGGGTGGCGCATGCCTGTAGTCCCAGCA